TTCAAATCATTGATGATTTTTCATGGATGGCTTTAATAAATGGACTTAGCCGGACTTACCTGAAATTGTGCAAGAAATATTTAGTCTATCCATCTGTGCCCCTCAACATCTGGGGAACCCATCATGTAGACCGTTAGTTTTTCCCCTACGTTCGTGGACATACTAGAAAAGTTTTACTAGCAGTCAACATGCCTTTCAATTATCATCAAACGATAAATTGACTCAATATGCAGGAAGAAGGCAACTTGGCTGTTTATTATCAAATTGGCTTATCTAGCCCGGCTGAAAACAACATTCCATTTATGTACAGTGGAAATTGTTTGCGTTTTGTAATAATAAATATCCTGTGTTTTTTCATCTTTTGCATATAAATATATAACTGCAAAATTATTTTTACAGAACATATTTAGCCTTTTACATTTGATTTATCAAAAAATATATGAGTATGAGTTGAACATGTAAGGAAAGCAAATAAATTATATTTGACGAATTGATATATCTTAAATAATTAGTTTATAAAAATCATTAATTTAAGAACGTCTGAATCCATCAATACTGTATATAAATAACACATAGGCGTGCGGGTAATAGTAAAAATATCATTCCGAGGAAAATACTATTACCCGAGGCGTTATTTTATTACCCCAAAAATTTCAACTAAATCTAACTGTAACAAAATTAACTAACACTCCAGTTACACAGAGCCATCGGTGATTGATCGGTAGTTTTTTTTAGCCAAATTATGGAGTGAACCGATGACAACGTATTTAACACCGATATCACCTATTGGTCACCTGTTTTCAACCTATCAACTGCTATTGGGGAAAGATAAGTTTCATCGGTGAAAAATTACCGATTGGGATTTTTAAACAAGTTTAAAATTCTCGATCGGTGAAAATATTCTAAAAATAACCGACGGCAACCTATATCACAAGATATGCAAGCTCTTAATCACCGATATCGCCGATCGGACAAAGATAACCAAATATGAATTGCCGGCCATATCTGACGGAAAGTGTTTAACCACTGATGACTAGCTATCAAACACCGATTAATCAGTGTTACGCCCGATTAAGCTCCGATTTACAAACGATAAAAACCAAAAGTATTTCAGCATTTAATCATCGACCTATTCAGGTTTGAGTCACCGATGGCCGTTTACACAGAAAACCAGAAATAAAATCACGCATGACAACCGATCATAACAGCGAGTAAATTTGAAATTAAATGACCGATTGGGGACCGCACCGTCTTTGTAACTGGGCCCTAAGAGTAACAATAACCCAAACAACATTCCCTTATAAGCTGTAAGTTTACTTGATAAGATATATTTTTCTTAAAGCAAATGTTCATATCTACCAGTCATAAACTTGCAATAAGCCGTGTATCAAAAAATTCCTTTTAGAATCAAAACACAAACCCATTTATACGTTTATGATCTGTGACATATGATCATATCCAGAATATTAATCACATGGTTTTTGACGATTTGCATTTACATTTCCTACATTATTATGTATACCACATCTGTCATGTTTCACGGATAGCATTCGTTAAAAAATCTTTACCGCTTGTATTTAATCGTCCATTTTGACACATACATGCATGACATGTAATTATACCGATGCAAAACCTTCTGCTGAAAACGGATGTTTACTTTTTGACTTTTCAACCAACCGATATCTAAGACGCGAAAAGCATTCTGTAGGATACAAACAACGTAATCTTTTGGGTGTCATAGTCACTCTGATGTTGCCCCAAGAGCCCCAAACCCCCCTTCGTGGTTAACTTTGAAAAGATAAGCTGAATCGAAAAAAAATGGCGGCCAATTTATTTTTTAGGACCCCCCCAAAAAAAAACAAAAAAAAAAACATAAAGAAATGAACTATATCAAAATAAAGTGAGGTGTAATAATATACCATGACATGAACGCGCTGTAAGAATGATATTGACCCGCATTTGGAAAAACCAAGTGAATATATATATTAATCTAATAAACCTGAATTCTGATTATCTGCTTTCAGGTTGTTGATATTTGCTTGAAATAAATCTATATTATAATGTCCAGAACGATTTAAGTTGTAAGTTATCTTAAAGAAATAGATGAAAAATGAAATGCCAGGGACAATGACTAACTAATGTGACCTACGTATAATTAGTTCTTTTCTAGACATGCCTGTATCTGCAAACCAATAGTAGATGATGATAAATCTTATTGACTACAATAGATGCGGATATTAACTTCTTAATTTAAGAATACGACAATTGAAGAGACATATTATAGAATGGACAAATGATAGAGAGCGACAAACGGTCGAAAAATATCTAAATCTACGGCACTTGACCCAATAATGAAGTGCATTATAATTCGACATAGTCTCGCAGAGGTGTCTCCTACTGTTATATTGATTATATAGATCAGAATGAATTAGAATACATTATGAATCAAGTGCATCCATTTACTTCCGCCTACTTTCGTTTTAGTATATTCCTGTGTTTTTGGAGTTATTTCGAAATCTTGTCGACAATATTAGACATTATATTCTTTTCTATTAAATTTTAATTCTATACTTTGTCGTATTCGACCATTTGTCCCATCTTTAAATTGTCGTATTGTGATAGTTTTCAAGTATTTAAAGAGTTTTGTAATATCCAGTGCTTCCTTGGGCGCGTCTAAGTTTGATTCTAAGGTTTGAATTTAAATCAACTTGATAAAGGCATTTTAGGCAAAGTTACTGCCTAGTACATCGGAAATAAAGAACATTTTGTACAATAAATTTACTAACCAAGATAGACAATGTAACGAAACGTATAAAAAAATTAGCTGCGAAGTTTCCCTAAATTAAATTTTTTGTGAACTACTTTTAGATAATTGAAAATGGCTGAGCGACGGTCAGCCAATTACGGTTGTCTAAAATTCTAAATATGTGTTGTGTGTTACTTGTATGAGCTATCGACTTCAACAATTACGCAGCATTTTGCAAACTTAAACGAAATTTAACTTGATCAACTGTCCATTGAGGGCGCTTCAAAATGAAAGCCTCGCATGGAGAGCGCAAATAGGAGTCACAATTTATACTTCTTAAGTATCCCATCTGTCAATCCCTACTACTGTCACTTGTGCAGTGTAAAATTGATCATAGAATGCTTAATCGAATATTTTAGCTGTCGTATCTTTTCCACAAAATATATATCTAACATTATGATCTGATTTTGTAACAGGAAATTCATCATTTACTTATCATTTATTTACAAACCAAGAATATTGAAGGCATCGCATAGTTGAAAACTTTTGCAAGATTAAGGTGTTTTCATTCGTTTTCTTTGAGATCAAGAATGATCTATTCAAATCTCAGCAGCTTTGTCACAAGCCCATTTACAGTTGTATAGGAAAGGCTAATATGACAGTGATTCAGAAACATCTATTTCATTTAGCTTTGTTCCAGGTCCAATTTTGAAGAAATGATCAACTTCCATGGACATTGTACAATCATGCAATTCTTTTTGACACGTCTTTCAATTATCATCAGCATTCCATTTGTTTACATTTGAGTTGCGTTTACCTTGCAACCAACTTTGTGAACAATCAAAACAATGTTACCACCCAATTATCGAGAGTGTTAGCTTGTTTTCATACTTTACAAATTGGGTGAACTCCAAAACCACCTATTTTGTGCAATCAATAACACGTTGAATATCAAGAGCCTGCTAAAAATTTACAAGCAATTGTCTGTCATTCTGAAACTATGCTGTTTTATGGAAAAAGCATACTGATCAATAGGAAAAGTTTTCAAGCTACTGAGGGAGATGTGTTGTGAAGCAGAAAAATACCGAAATTCTTTTACAAAAAAATAATGATTGAATATGCATGGTATTTACTTTTAAAATTGTAATTATTATCTCAAAGTTTCATATTTTCAAAAGAATGTTTGAAATATGTTAATGTTACAAATGCCAAATGTTTTAATTACAGATGTCAAATTAATAATTGTTACTGGAGGATTAAATGTGGCTTTTCCTCTTTGTTCAATTAATTGTGCTAAAAGTTTTGTTATCTATAGATGATAATGTCAAATAAGCTGTCTGTACTTATTAAACTGTTGAAACTTATCACTGATAAAATGTCCAGGTGATGATTGTTTTTATAAATTTTATGTTGCTATGTTACATTATTTTGTATTCAAACCTGATTGGCCATTTTGTTATCTGAGAAACAAAAAAGTTAACATTGGTCAGTGTAAAATGAAACCATTTTTAGAAATTTTGTAAAGATAGAAAATTTGGACAGTTAGAATTTGGATTTCCAAATGAGGTGAGGCTTTCCACTAACAATATATGTTACTGTTTATAATATCTATTTGTTAACGTCATGATAACCTGCGCATATGTTATATATTATTTGTGGTATTCCATTAAGGAAGGACCATTAAACTTAAAACGTGAGATTGTGTCCGTGATTCAATCCAGCTTCAGTGAAACAAACTAAAGCGCATTAAAGTACACATTGGATGATTGTCCCCGTCTCCTTTACAAAAGGAAGCAGAAAATCATTGATACAAATTTCAAAGTGCGCCGGGAGGAAGAAGCAAAGAGCACTGTCGAAGGATGCTGGGACCTTAGTGTAAGATACAGTGTAGTTGTGTTTGAAATTAAATTGAAATCAAATCAAAAGTTAAAGGAGTTTATTAATAAATACAAAATAGATCTTCAAACAGTAAAGAGCCGTCGATAAGTAGGTCCCATTTGGACTTTTGTCAATTGATTTAACGCCAAATGTACTAAATGTTTAGGCCGTATCTTGACAGTAGATCAGCCTAAATAGCCTAACTTGATAATGAACCAGTATTTACAAATTTCAGCGCCAACGATCATTTAAAAATTCGATATTATCTCGTGTGTATATTGATTATTTAGCTCAGATTTCATGACTTAGGAATAATAAACACTGCTGATACTAATTGTACTTTTAATCTCTCATATGACAGAATCTTCTTATTTTGATATCACTAGATACAATAAGTTTTACGAATCGACCAAGTACATTACAACTATATAAACGTACACGTAGCGGTTTTTAGTTCACCAGACTAATGGCTAAAATACTTTAACTTTCAAAGGTCATAATCGTTTAAACATAATATACTGGAACGGAAAATGATAAGCCTTTGTCATCGATAACAGCCAATCTAGCCTACACATCCGTACTCTATACTGACGGTTGCTCAATGTTGTTTTATGATATTTGAATCCCTTTGATATTTATTTGGACTGTTATTAATTCAAAGCAGTAAAATCCTTTACACAAATTCAACAGGTTAAATATGACTAAAATTATTTAAAAGCAATTACAACAGACACAATTGCTTTTTGTGTTATTTTGCTTTTACTCTCTATACTTGATTTTATAATAAATGAGTAAATAGTTTGTGTAAGTTTACTCTCTTGATTTATACATTTATTATAAAAGACTTCAGTGAAAGCATATATGGAAATGTTAAATATAATAAAATGATACTAATGAAAAAAAAATTTAACACAATTTCTTATGTAATACATTTTACTTTATAATTGAGAACTAAAGAATTGAGATAATTTTAGAAGTTTGTATTGTCATTAACATTAATATTTCTTTTACAGTTCAGTGCATTTTCTAACTTAAATAATTTTATTATTTTATAGTTAGTAAACTTAATAGATGTCACTATATAAAGTGCACTCAAATGCCGTCAAAATGTTTCTCGTCCACGGCAGCAAATGAACGGAGTGCCTTACAAAATTAAAGTATATATATAATATAAGAAGCAATCTTCAGCAATATTATGTAAGGCTTGTGATATTTACACAATGTGCTTTAAGTAATAAAACAAAACTATTATACTGATACAATTATTCCGTATATCAAAGAATAGCGTTGTCTGATACTAGCAAACAAATTAAACAATGAATAGTAGTAATGTCTGTTTTAGTGATTTGATTTAGTTTGGTTATATTCTATCCAAGAAAATCGACAGATTTTAGCATCATTTCGCCGGACTCCTTGTCAACGACTTTTACAACTATCTCGGTTCCTCCAAAAATGAAACTTCTTTCAAATTAATGTTTTTTTCCAGAGCTTCTGTCAGAATTAGGCATCTATCATTGTACCTATGAGTTGTTTCTCCCCATATGTATACTTGCAATTCCTTTCAGTAATTGTTGCAAGCTGATGTCCGAAGATGACAGCTCCTTTCAAAACCGCTAAATTTGCCTCGAATGGAATGATTACTTTAAGATCTTTGAATGTAGACTTTACATTCTTTTGCAGCACCGATGATTCAGAAAATCCACCAACCATTAGAATGGCAGCACAACCATCAACTGAACATTCCGTCAATATATTTTCAACATGACTTATTATTTTGCGAACGGTTGGTTCAAAAAACTCTTTGAAGACCTCACAATCAATCCTCAACTTATCTCTTAAAACTTGGACTTTGCTTTCAAATCTAGACTGCAGAATCAATTCCCTTAATTCTGTTTCTTTGAGTACTAGACATAACTCAAAAAGGCTAACTGGGATTCGCATAGTCACGGATCTTGTAGATTGAATAGATTTGTGTTTTTTGCTTTCAAATGCACGAAAAAAGTCAATGTAATCCTGTATATATTGACTTTTGAATTTTGAGATGACAACCGGTCCTGTAATACGATTGATTGATAATATATAGTAAACCCTGGTTCATCTGATATATCATTGCTATTATATTGATATGGTATTGATAATTACAAACTGAAACATATCTAAGTTCATACAACAATGAAAAGTCTTAATCAAAAGAAGTCTGAGTTAACATCTACGGAAGTTTATCCAAGTTAGTTTAAAGAACATGCCTTTTCTTTTCATTTGAATGAAAGAAGACATGAAAATAATTTTGCGGATGATAAAGGAAGCTTTAAAAGCTTTTTTGAAAACTTTTTGTTCAGTTAAGGTAACAGTTACTGTAACATATTCACATATTCACTTCTTATGTCTACGTTATGATTTAAAAAATATAGTTCACTGTAAAATATTTCTTTGTGTCAAATATGAGTAACCTACCAAAAATACTTGTTAGAAACTCTTCAAAAGCTTCATCTACTTTAGTTCCAACCCATGCACCACTACTTGCTTTATGGAGTTCCTCGAAGTTTCCTCTGTGAGTTACTTTATGTACAGTTATGTCAACTGTTTCTCCTGTTAAAGGAAACAAACAATTAACCACTCAAAAATCCTTTACTCTTTTAAAACAAAAGCGAAAATTAACAGGAAATTACTCGCATTCAAAAGAAAATAAAAGGATTTTGTTCTGATAGGTTTAGACAAGTTGGTTTTAGCGTTTCGTTTAAGTAATACATTTAAGAAGAATACCTGCGTCAAGGACAAGATATTTTGTTCCTGGTGAAAACTGGGAAATAGATGTAACTTCTTGTTTGGTACACTTTGACACTGCAAGATGACGACAATAAATGGATGCGGCTTCTGGTTCAAGACATAAACTTAGGTTCTCTTCTGGAATCCCAGCCTATAAAAGCAAACAAAAGTTTATTAGACTGGAGGAAGTAAATATCCGAATCAGCTTAGATTCGTTACATAATTATCGTATAAAAATGCAAATAATGTAAATAACTATAGAAATATATTTTAATCAAAATAAGGCCGCGACAGTTTGCGACTATAGAGGGACAGTGATTGCATAGGGTTATATGAATAGTTCCTTCTTTAGTAGAGGGTCGAATTAAATGAACAGGTTTTAAAATATGTAACATACTCGTATGTATCTATAAACATATTATTTATGACTTGTTCATATGTTATATTAGTATTTAATAGTGTTTATATTATGTATATATGTTTATGTCATACACTGTTCGTTTATTGTGCATGTCTTATGTCCTCATGGGCTTTAAAACCTATTGGAATAAAATAAAATGTCTACTGTCAACATTAATTTACACTAAACATATTTGACTTATTTAAATAGTTTTATCCGTTTTGTTTAAAATAATTAACGTTGAAGTTGCAATATCTGTTCACATTTATATACCTGTTGTGCTGCCTCCCTCATAAATTGTTTAGCTGTATCGGTCAATATTGCTGGGACAGTAAGCACCCAGTGTATGCCTGACGCAATAATTGTGTTACCAACATGATTACTTAGAGTATCAAGAACACCCTTCTTTAAGAAATCAATGAATAGCGAGAAAACCCTCAATGCCGGGAGCTTCTTACCAGTCTGATCTTCTAGTTCAGCATGGCTTGTCATGACCTTATACATAAGATAAATAAACAATTAATTTCTTAAAGATTTGATACATATTTTCGAAATTAATTTCAAGATCCCTGTCTGAATAAAGTCGCGAAATGAATGGTGTAACTATACTATTTAATATGTACTTAAGCGGGACATAATTTATCTAAATTATGGAAACCCGGACAAATCGAAACCTTTTTTTTCAATAATTGATATTATTTTCATTATGACAATCTCAATTATGAATCTCTTTTGTATCTTATTACTTCAATTCAACTTTATTTTTCTTTATAAATTACTGCAAAACCTTTTTGAGTGATTTACTTTGCCCCTGGCGAGGGGTAAAATGAAACAATGCGTTGGTTGGTCAAAGTTAAACTGTAACTATAAAAAAGAATAAATCTCAAAACTAAAAGTTTATGTCATTCTATTTCTATTATAAAGTTAAGATATAATTCAAACACCTTTTTATAAGTATGCGGAGGCACTTTAATGTATTTATTATTTTAAATGTGGGATTCAGCTCTATCATTCCTCATTTTGCTAAGGTAATTCTTGTTTAGTTAAGGTTGCGATTCGGACGCTCCTTATGATTTTAAACTATATGCATTTAAAGCTTGTAAATCATTTCTTTATTTAAGTATCACTGTATCAACTTTCCCCACCCATACTGTTTGCGCTTATATACATTTGGTACGATTAATTTATAACAAACTCACTCATTTATTCATATGTACATTTTATTTACGTGTGAGCACTTTCATAATAGAGATTTCACTATGTAATTTCTTGTGCATGTAATGAATGATTTCAAATTCTGTAAATATTTCCTCCTCGCTGCATACTATAAAATATGCAGTAAATATTTCTCATATGTACGAAAACAATTGTCTAGCAATTTACCAGTTCAAGTTTTAAGGGGAGAGTAATTATGTCACATGAAAAATTCTTAATAACTAACAGAATGTCTCATTGTGTCCTCGTCTTTGCAGACAGGGAGGGAGAAAGAAAGGGAGATACACAGACATGGATGCAGAAATTTCTGCATAAGTGCGCGCGTACATAAGACTGTATGTATTTCACATGTGGCATTAATGTTCATATTATATTATACCTTTTCTCTAAAAAGCATCATTTTAAATCTTTTAAAGAAGAACCATTGGTTTTGTTCCCCGTTTTCGCATTTTTCAGCATAATTGTCCTCAGCTTCATAACCGAAAGAATGTGGCGTTTCCCCATCAGGATTTATAAGAATGCATGTTGGAACTGAAACAAATAGTTTGGATTGGACACCATTAGAAACAAATTAAACTCTACAAATAGAAATAATTATCAAGGACTTTTGTTTGAGAATAATGTTTGACATTTGCCTTAGAATAATCATATTGAGATTTTGAGTCATAAAGAAGATAGGCTGACATTTATCAAATAATAATAATAATAATAATAATAATAATAATAATAATAATAATAATAATAATAATAATAAATTAATGAAGATAATAATAAAAATAAAAATAATAATTCATTTACCAATAACATAACGAAATGCATAATGCAATTTAACGCATAAACGATCAGTTTTTTGCATAAATAAAAACGATGCAAACTGAGAAGATGGAAACTGAATCTTTTTGAAAAAGTAAACGTTCTTAAAACTTTTGCATTGCCCAAACTTATTTATCACCTAACAGTTTTACATAATCCAGATAAAGATATCATAAATAAAATAAAAAAATCTCATGTTTAACTTCCTGTGGGACAACAAACCAGACAAAATATCAAGAGATAAGATTATCCAAGATGACCATGATGATATCTAAACAAACATAAAAGATATTGAAACTTTTGATATTAGATCTAGATTTTTAAAAGACGTACTCAGTGCTTATTATGCGAGTTTTGCAACACAGCATCAGAATCTTGTTCTAATATATATTTTAATAATGCTGTAAAGTTTAACCATTTTGGTGTCAAATCAAGAATATATTTTACAAACAAAATGTTCTACAAACAGAACTTTGGTATCATGTAGATATTCAAAATCAGTAGATTTATCTTCTTTTGAGAAAAAAATCCCGGGTGCATTTGTGTAATTGCCTCAAAAATCATCCGTGGGAAACGGTAAAACATTCCGATAAAACTGGTTTTCGTAAGTTTACCAATCACGAGTTTTTCGTGCGTAATTGGAAAGGGTTTAAAATTTGACGTGGAAACATCGCTTATTAAAATCCCACCCTCCCTTCCCATGTGTTATTTGTATTTCAATTTTACATAAACATGTTCTGCTGCCGAGTGTTTATATTTTTCAGCTTGAATCCAGCCGGGTTTTGATTACTTCCTGTTCAACCATGCTATGCCGCTACATCGACACGTGTGTCTGAATTTGATGCCCAGTAATTGTTACATATTCGATACAGTCTACAGAAAACATTTTATCCCACACATTTAGTGTTTGAAAGTGTTGTGTTGACACTCAAAGTAATAATTTGATGTTTTACGTCTGACTACAACAAACTTTGTTGTAGAAATAAACAGTTGTAATTTGGAACATTACTCAATACTTAAAACTAATTTATTAAAATATTTATCAGTATTTACAATTATTCTTTGAGCTAAATGATTAAAATGGTACGTATTTTATATATTCTAATGCTTAGATGAATTTGCAAGGATGCGACCCGACATTTTTTGTGGTGTGACATTGACAAACGGGTACAGGTTTCCAATTTTTCCCACTGGGTTTTATTTGGTTTTTCGTGGGCGAGTCGACCACAATTTGCAAGTGACATGGTATAGGAAATCAAAAATGTTTTTATTTTACTGTTTTCACATACCTACTTTATTGCTCATATCTGAAAACTAGAATATATCTTTCATAATGCAAATACGTTTGTATAATTGATACATGAGTGTTAAATCCAGTCGTGACTTTAAATAGTATTACTGTAACTTCTCTAAGTCAAATTATGTTTAAGACTTTTCATTATTATTGCGGATATCTCATTGTTAAGAGATTTAATGGGAGTAATTTGCCCCGATTTCTCTTTAGCTTTGTTTTTGTTTTACTCTTGTAAAATGCCAGGCCGCCTTATATTCCTAATCGTTGACCTCTTAGCGGCAAGTCCAAGCAGAGTTTAGCATTTTCAGAGCTTTTTATCATAGTTTACAGCACTTTGACGATGATATTTGTTTTCACCAAAATGCACAATAAAGTCACGGCCTTATTCAAATCAATTTGTGTTCTGTTATTTTATTCACAATTGAATATTTATAAAACAGTTATGTTTTCTTTTGGGAAATATAACCATTTGTATTAGAAGTGTTGCGCAGTTCCAGATGGCGCTATATCTGCTATGTAAAAATATGTGCATGATGATCTTTGGTTCTATAGTTTTAATAGCTTAGAAATGCTACTTTTGGTTCTACATTCATACGTATCTGATATATATGGTTTTGTTCATTTATAAAGAAATTGCGTCATCTTAGACCCCATATCTTTCAACGACAGATATCTCAGCAATAACTAAAGTTCCGTATGCTTTCGAACCTTGTCGCTGTAAAATTACTTAGTAGTAAGAATACCCGTTAATAAATTAAAATGAAATCAAACAGCATTAAATTTTATTTTCAATTTAACTTAATCTTACTCTTAGGTAAATTTTTCATCTTAAAAAAATACCAGAAAACGATACCAATTTTAAATGAATTTTTAAATTACATGCACCTTAGATATACATGTAAACTTAGTTTAGAAAGACCCATTGCTGAAATGAAAAATAAGGTTAATGTCCATAACACCAAGTGGAGCCTATGTCCAGTGTCTCCTACACGCATGGAATTTTAATGATACTTCATAGAAATGTTAACCACTATAACAAGCTGTGTCGCGCACATAAACCAGTACTCTACGTCAAAGGTACAGGTCACACTTAGAGTTTATTGAAAAACGCTTGTTCGGAGTAAAACTTCTACATGCATAGAGGGATTTCAATATAACACGCAAAGTGTCGCGTGCAAACTTTAGGTCCTTGCAGACAAGGTCAATGTCACACATAGGGGTCAAAGTTCAGAAAAATATGAAAATATGTATTCGGACCATTTAGTTATCATTTATTCAGAGAATAAAACACAAAAGATCATTATCATGACTACTGGTGTGAAACATGTAATTAAGGTTACATATTCAAGGCGCCAAGGTCATTACATTAACTTGAACATAAAGATTTTGTCTAGTGCATATCTCCTACACATATGAAGGGATTCTTATATAAATTCATAGAAATGTTCAACAATATGACAATCAGTGTCATGTTAATTAACCAAGTTTATTGCTTAACGTTATGGTCATACTAAGAGGTTATTTAAATATGCTTGTTCGGAGCCGAACTTCTACATTTATCTGGGGATTTTAATGTATCTTGGCGCAAATGTACACCGTTGTAAGGCTAAGTATTGCGCAAATACCTCAAAATTGGGCAATTTAGTGTTATTGTTCCTTTGCTGCATTGCACTTAATGAGATCTATCTAACAACAAAATTTAAAGTTGATATATTTAGTACATTCTGAGTTATGGTCTGGACAAGAAATCTGTAATGGACCGCGCAACTTACCGACCAACCGATCGACCGACCACCAGGTGACTCCAGAATACCCCCACAAACTTCATTTGTTGCGGGTTTAATAATGCACATGTTAAGATGTTAATCTATTTCACATTGGATGTAAAATCTTGATACTGAAAATTTTTGTTAATCACTTAAGTTATCCTAATTTAACGTTTTTATATTTAAAACATATTAACTGAACTTGACATTTTTGTACCTTTAAGTGATACATATTGGTTTTGAGCGGCCTTTGCTGTTATCTTCAGAGTATCTCGTTTGTGGTCAGAATTGTATAAAAAAGCCCATCCTGAGTATGTTGTCCCCAAATCAATGGCAACCACAACTAACGAGCTCATTGCCTGTATAAACAAACTTTCTGTTATTAACAGTAAAGGAATTAAAGCAAATAACAAAGTCAACTTAAAAAGTAAAGTTTCATTTGACCCACAGTGTTCAAACTTCATAAGATGGTTGTCAATATTGAGTAAAAAAACCCTAATAATTTTTCGGTCATATGGTACAAGGTCAAGGTCACTATAGCCTTAAAACTGAAAACGGTTTTCACTCAATAACTTCAGTATTAATCAATTTACAGCTGTAAAATTTTATAGGATGAACAATCATGTCCAATACATGACACCTATTGATTATAGGGTCATAAGGTTAAAGGTCAGGGTCACAATGGCATTAACACTGAAAATTGTGGTTTCTGTGGCATAACACAAGTTCAATTTGGCTGACAGTGTTCAAACTTCATACGGATGATTGCCTATATGGACCTTTCCAGTGTTTACAGTTTTGTGTAAATTGGCTTACTTGTTATCCAATTGCTACACTGAGATTATACATAGTCACTGTTGACCTGGTTTGCACAAAAGAACACATGGTAATGTTTGTGATACTGTTTGTGAGCAATTGACCTAGCAATGAATGGAAAAGGTGTGGTTAAATGTTCCGCTACGAAAAACAGGAAAGGTCCATTGAATAAAAATCCATATCTATATTGAGGTCACAAAGTCAAAGGTCTATATTCAATGACTTTAAGATTGTAAACAATTTTACAACTTTCATACTTCATAGAATGATCCTTTATATTGAGTACATTAAAGATCCTGTTTGTTTCGTGTTTGATGTTATTATTGTGTGTATACCACACTTGCAAAAAATTATATATGTATATAATTGTGCAAATAAAACAATTTTCAAACATCGAAGAATATGTAAAATGTGTACTGCAAATATTTGTGCACATTTTATTTAATCAAGAAATAACATGCATTCATTTCTTATTGGAAACTTTGACTTAGAATTTATAGAAAATAATTTACCTCCCTTTATTTACATGAAATGCTAAGTTGGGTAATACCTTTGTAAATAATGCTTATTTGAACTTACAATATTGACAAATCTTAATTTTAGCATCATATTTATGAAATAAAATCATTTGTGTTAATCAATTGTGTTACAGGATCTTTAATTGTATGCCCTAAAAATGCTTATATAATGTTATTCCCCTGCCGTCTTTCCGTCCATCCGTCGTAGCATTTTTACTTACAAAATAACATTTTGATGGTGGTGCTTTGGAAACAGCAACTGTATATATATTAAGGTTCTTCAGCTATAAAGGAGAATTGCTTTTTTAAAGGAGGTAATACTTTATTTTCATGTGTTTATGTATCAATTACTTCAATTTATGTATACACTAGTTTTCCTTCATAAATGGGTACAGTTTAAGATGGCTGTTCTACAGTAATCACATTTGTTTTGTTTATTCATTCAAGAACTTTTTGGGCATATAGTGCTCTGCCTAGCGTCGCTTTTGTTCTATATTGCAGGTATTTTAAAAGTGGGGAGGAAAAAGAAAGTAAATTAAACATCTCTTTAATAGATACCAGAGAAATGCTTTATTGACATTTGTGTATTGTTTTTCACAGTGTAGCCAGAATTTGTCGAGAAAACAATTATATTTGCTTAAAACTGAATACAATTTCTTTATAACTGTTTTTATTTGGTGAAATGTTTTTTTTTAAGGTTAATGGATATGAGTGCTGAAATTTACCTGGCATAATCATGACTTTATATTTATGTGACCTATATCGTTCAAGTTTTTCTGATCTTAAGGTGGTTTTAGTAGTTTTGATATTAAGGTGGTGTTACCATTATTTTTTGAAAATGACAGATTTCATTTTAATCAGGCAAGGGAAGAATGTAACAAAGTCTATTTTTCGGATAATATCTGTTTTGAAATGTTCCAAGGCTTTCTAATTTTTGTAATGGTATTATTTTTGGAAGAGTTGTTTCCCCTTGACTTTGGTGCTAAACTATATTTAATGGGAACCTCGTTTGAAAGTTCCTTAATAAACACCATATGAACACATCGGCAGATGTTTCTAAATTCAGAATGTTATAATTTAATGATTAAATGTTGAATTGAATTGTGCTTAAACCGGTGATACGGTGCGTGGACACTACTTTGCTCTTGACATTCTGTTCAGTGTGTTGGTTGGTAGACACTGAGAGAGGAAGCGTCTCTCTGGTCACTAGTTTTTTGAAATTTGTTATACTGAAACATTTACTATTTTGGGTTGAAACCGTACATCATTTGATAAGGTAAGTATTGCAATGGCTGAAACATTTCATTAAATAATTACAGTCTTTGTTCTTTTGGCTAAGTAGTGTACACGTATCATTTCGAAGATAAATACGAGATGTATACCACGTTCACTTTTTATTTTTAATATCCTATCATTTACTTATTCTGACTAATTTATATGTATATAATACTTGGTGCATTATTGTTGTTCACGGCAGCACTCAGTGAGATTCATTCGTGGATGATGGCGTATATTGGTTAAAAGAGCTAAAGATCTGTAAGTTGATTTTTTATTATCTGTGAAAGTATTGTTTTATATATAATGTACTTAGATGAGTCATTAAATCTTAATAAATTTAGCATTATTATAAATAAAAGCACAAGGACCACTGTATCATAGAGCTATGAACTGCTTTGATCTTAGCTATGGACTATGTAATTTTTATGATGGGAGATCTATAAAGAGCTATGAATTTGAACCATGAGGTATTTTACCTCGTCCAGTTTAGATGTATATTCATTATGAATGATATAAAGAGAGATAACTCTTTATATGACTTATAATTATGAATCTCCATCATTTGATAAGGACGGCTACTATTGTTTATTTCAGTGCCTTCTAGGTCAGGGAATCGCATTGTAACATGGCCAGCGATTGGCTGAAAAAAAGTGCAGGGAAAACCGTATGAATCACTTTATACATGAGGTGATTGGATGAGAATGGGGTATTTTTAAGTATAAAAACTAATTTAAATAGTAACACTACATTGTTTTCTGAAAAAAATGAAATATTTCTTGAGTCTCTATGATAATTTTGACTTGGATATTTGCATTTATAAAAAGTGTATGTCAGTCCTGTGATCAGCAGAAAATTTCAATGAAATGGGGGGTAATCCTCTTTGAAGTCATTTTGCAAAAAATTTGGTTGGCTACCACTATATAACAGGAACATTTTTATGGGTCAGGCATTTCATTCTGCTGGAAACATTACCTCTTTAGCATGAAAACTCAATTTTAAGGTAGGATTAGGGACCATTTCTTATAATGTAAGTTTATGGAAATATCAATGTGAGTGTCTGACCTTTCTATACTTACATGTTTACATGATTACGTGAAATGTACACAGAACTGTAGAATGATGGTCTACAAGTAGATGTATCAGTTATTATACTTTGTGAATTGATTATGGTGAACTTTAGGTATATAAACTTAAGTCAATAAATTACACATGGTCGAACCTGAAAACAAGATTGTGTTTATATTGCTACCACTGAAGAGATACTTCAAATTACAAATGTTTATTAAAAACAATTATCTGAATCAAATTTCATAGAAGATTAATAACGAACGAAACTTAAAAAAATGTGAAGAATCAGTTGTAAAACACTCTTACCTTCTTGCACTATATTGCAATATTTCCAAAAAGAGAACAATATAGTATATCAACATAGATACATGTCAGTTTTTCCCACTGATCTTTATACAACACTCAACATATTTAGACATATCAAGTTTATTTCGATAAGTAATACATATAAGTCATTTATTACAGTAAAGCATTAAATAATTTTAAAAGTAAACGGTTTTAAATTTGTTTTCGTTTCTTTTTGGCAAGAGGGAATGTAAGTTTTTTCTGCCTTTTATCGTTTTTACTTAGTTAATGTTTTTCATCAATGAAATGCATAACTTCATAACAAATATTTTATGTAACTCACTTGTCTTTCCATATCTGTTTCAGGTGTCTTCAGCTTCAATTGAAATTCTTTGTATTTTCTTATATCTTCATCTTTAAAAGATCTCTTAAATCATATTTAAGTCATAGATTGAGTATTAATTCATGTTTACAAATTAAGCTAAATATATAATATTGTCGGTAAGTATAAAACAATTTATTTGTAATAGTAAAGTTGCATTTGTCAGCATTAAGCAAAAACAAAAACATCATTTCCTTTTTTGCTTACACAACGATACTCGTATATTTTGTTGAAGCTTACTACAAAAAAGAACAACACAGGTATGATAAGATATGCAACATTTCGATTATAACGTACATGTTTATGCCCTCCTCTCTTGTGCCAATGACTCTATACTCAATGTTTTTATCTTTCTAGAATCAAATACTCATTTAAAAGAAACAAAGTCAGCAATAATGTTTCTGCAAAGGTAAATGCCAAGCGGCCTTCAGATTTTATGTTTTGTTTGAAAAACGATCTTTGTTTTATCAAAATATATATTTATGTTAATTTGGGGAAGTACATCATATCACTTTTAAACCGTCTTCAAAACTACGACATGAACACTATCTTACCGACGTCAATGACGTTTGTTTCTAAAATCTTGAAGAACGGGAAACGAAACATCCTCTTAACAAAATAAATGAGAAAGAGAAGACCGCCAGAGTAAAGATATCGAGGGCTTCCTTACAGTGAATGCATTAATATAATTGAAGGCACTTTACTCTTTAAAATATTATGAAACAATTTCCCTAGAAATTACATATTAAATCTTTAGATAAGATAAAGTCTGCTTTAACAATTATTCAATTCACCTGTAATATTAATGATCATTGTCTGAATATTACAATATCAGTATTGACTACGAATAGATATTAGACAACATCGAATAATACATACCATTTGGTCTATCTCCATTTGCACCTTTAAGTAATTTTCTTTCAATTGTTTGTTTTCTTGTTTTGTCTCTGACATTTCATTCATAACGTGTGTTAATGAAGTTTTCTACAAAAAGGAGTCTATATCCAATTAAAATAGATAAATACAGAATCCCTGAAGAACGCCCAACACGACAAAATTGAAAATGTTGCAGACTCGGTTTGATTGAGCCTGTTCATGGACGGTACTGGAAAGAGCAATTTACCGTCCACGCCCCCTAGCACCGGCTTAAGCAGAACTCAACATTAAAACAGGAGATGGTAAAATTTTGAATTTAGAAACATCCGCAGATGTGTTCATACGGCGGTTATCATGGAACCTTCAACGTGACACTTCCGTGCCATTCCGTGAAAAGCGGCGTATGGTCCCCAAGTAATAGAAAGCGTGTGCCCTAAACGAGAAAACAATTGGCGGAACTAAATAAAATAAACATCTTCTTTCCAATCATATTAAATTTATTCTGTGCATCGTTTGTATTCAGACGGTCGTTTAGCATGAAAAAAATGACGACAAAAAACAAAAAGAGGCGCCTCCGTGGAATACCAGATCAAGCTCGAAACCAGGTTAAGGACTGCTGCGGGGAAAACAAAATTTGAAATTTGTATCTTATAGATGAAATTTTACTTCAATTGCTCAGTTCAATAAATAAAATATCTTTAAGAATTTCTGCATTACAATGAGGACCAGTTAGGTTCCTAAAATCGTATTTCGTGTCGCCATCTTAACTGCAACCGAATCGATATTATACATGTAGTTCAGGAACATACATTTAGCGTTGATAATACATTTGCTCCATCAGAGATCGGGGCAAGTACAATATCGTATCTCTTTCCTAATTATATATGACGTGATGCTGCAAAATTGTTGGCGTGAGTATTTAATAATGATATGCAAAAATATCACTAAAACATACGTGTCTTTCATTGTCCGCTTCGAGTTGTTTCATTTTATCTTCTAATTGTCTAGTTTTGTTCATTTTAGCTTCTTCCTTAGATATCTGAATAAAATATATCAATTTTCAATTGATTGATGTAATTATTTAATTAATTATTTTAGTTAATATATAAAAAGCAAAATGACATAAAAGCAAATGTACTTTTATAGATTGATCTCGAAAGTTTATTTGAACTCTTTAACTTTCGTTACATACTGTGATCTCCTTTGCGTACAAAAATGTTAAAAGATTTATGACTTTTTGTGAATTAAACACTTTAAAGCATTGATTATTAAAATTATTTACTTAATATAAACCCATCTGAGTGCATTTTAGGAGGGGGGGGGGGGAGATGCGTCTGTGGCCGAGTGGTTAAGGTCGTTGTCTTCAAACCACTGGCCCTGACCGTTGTGAGCGCGAATCCTGACAGTGACTTGGATTCTTTCATGTGAGGAAGCTATCCAGCTAGCTTACGGAACGTCGGTGGTTCTACTCAGGTGCCCGTTCGTGCCTAAAAAATGCACGGAAGGGCACCTCAGGTATTCCTCCACCAGTAAAGCTTGAACGTCGCCAAATGACCTATACTGTGTCGTTGTGACGTAAAATTAAATTTAAAAAAAAGAAAAAAAAAAAAGAATGCATAAGCTTACTTCAATGTCTCTTTCCGTTTTCAATGTTTTGTGTTCTTCCTCCAAAGAATCATTTTGCTGCTTTAAGTATAAAAGCTCATTATGCTCTTGTACGGATATCATTTCATATCAGATAGAATATATTAGTCCACAATGTTCAGACAAAAATGTCGAATTGAACAAGGCAAACATTTGGCAATTAATCATAATAATAGACTCTGTTTCTTACGTCCGTATCAAGCTATTGGTGATGAATTTCACTACTTATTTGAATGTTCGTACTTTAATGACATTAGACGTAAATCTCTTCTTCCCAGTTTTTATATTCATCCCAATATTTTTTAAACTTGACAGATTAATGAATAGTTGTGATAGAAAAATTCTACTAAAATTATCTTTATTTTGTAAAATAAATATGTTAAAATTTAGATAATTTATAATTCTCATTCTACGTTCCAATTTGTTACATTGAAAAATACATGTTGTATTGAATTCAGTAGTTGAAAATGAGCAATATCATCTCCTTTTTGTTTATTTAGCTAGTCACAACTATATTCTTTTATTGTTATATTAGTGATTTTTGACTGTTATTTTTCTGTTCGTTTGTTTGTTATAATCAGTTGCATAGTATATGCCTTGCTTTAATAAAAACTGAAACTGAAATTGAAAGAAGTAACATTTTACCGAACATATAATTACTGATGCAAATCCGTCGTTTAAAACATTTTAAGGAAATTCAGACAAAAGATGAGAATGTTTTCAAGTCAAGTCTAGACTTTGACACAAGATATTTATCGTTCTGTAAAAGTATTGTATCCATTTAATAAAAACTATGACCGGTTAAATTATTTCTTATCAAAAATAGCGGTGTCGTTTTGCTATTCAATGTTGGCTACAATGTTTATGAATTGTTATTACCTCCACCTGTGAAAGTAGTAAAGAAATTAGTTCCTTTGAAGATGACACGTCCTTGCTTTTGATATTTTCAGGCAGGTCACTTTCACTTTCGCTGTCATCCAACATATTTTTTATAATTTCAAGAATGTTTTTCACAAGAAACTGATATTCGAAGAGCTCACAATCAGTATTATTATGCTGCATCTACAACAAATTAGTTATACATTCTAATAAAAATGTACTAGCACTGAAGATTTGTTTATTCATAAAACAATCATAAAAATAAATTGCGTGCTAAATATCTAAGTTTCATTTTGTCTATCTGTTTCCATGCATTGATTAAGTGCAGGCAACACTTTATTCCTCAAACTCTATTGAAATTATATAAGCTTTCATGAATATAGATACTCATTTCAATTAAAATGATGAAATATTTATAAACTTTATGATACTTATTTTCTTTGAAATATGTAAAACAATAAATGCACCTTCTCTATATCTTCTACACCATATGAACATGACTGGCAATTATTTTGCCAACGCCTCAAAAGTACCAACAAATGATCAGTCAACGCATCCAGGCCTTCTTTTGAAATGAGCAGCTCTTTTGCATATATTAATTTATCTATGTCTTCCAAAATCTTTAAAGAATACAGAATCATTCAACAATAAGCCAATGATGCATAAATTAAATCTTTTCTAACCTTTAAACTGTTTTTATAAATTCAAGAAAAACACAGTTTTATTCTAGAGTTTTTTAATGTAAGACTTTCATTTCATTATTGTCAGTAAAATTCACTTTTCGCAATTGCAGTTAAAGACACTAAAGCACTTACCTGACCATAAATTTTCTCAGAATCTTTGAATGCAAACATCCTGCAATTTTTCATAAGTTTTATTAATGTTTTAGCATTCATCTCTCGGCCATGTAGTTTAACGTCCTGCGTTTGTACACCGATGAAACAATGAGCCAAATCCCAGATAAAACTAAAGCAGCGGTCAGTATAAGAAAAACTATGTTGATTTTCTTGAAATAAACTTTCCCTATCTTGTTCAGCAGATATATCCCCCGTGACAGAAGAAAGTTTTCTTAGCCTGGTGTAAAGCAATTCACAGTTTTTGTGACCACAACCAAGGTCCTCGTTATTAATGTTTGCAAAGTCTAGTTTCATACCATGTTGATTTACACATCTGATAAATGTACCCAGTTGCCCTTTCTCCGTAGTAGGTAGTGCAGCAATGAATTGTTTCCACTGTTTTTCAATCAAGTCTCGAAGAGAGTTTCTTGCAGAATTAAGAGCATGAACTCCTTGCACTATGTTTTGAAAACCTGGCTTTAACAACAACTCGTTTAAAGACTTGCATCTAGTATATAAAAAAAGAATGCACAATATCAGTTTTGACTCTGTCCTCCAAAAAACATGAAATATGAGAATCTTCGAAACAGACTCAAACATATTTTTATTGAATTCGAGAAAACAAAACGAGCTGGCAATGATATATTTGAAATTTGCTTTTTAAGCAATTTATAGAACTTAAGAGATAGAATGGAATTAATGTACTGACAGATTAAAACGTATATCTCAGAAAGCCATTATTTCATATCTTGTAAGCCACCTTTATAACTCATTTATATCATACATAACTATTTCGAGTAAAATATTAAAGAAATAAGCGATGAGAAGGTATTTGCATATTGTCTTAATTTCAACAGATGGCACCTCACATGTCTTGTTGTTTTGTAAGTGGTTTCACATAGAAGGGCAATCAGTCCTTTATATTACGCACGTTTTATATCGTATATATTATATCGTTCAGTCGGTGTTGAATAGAATTTCTAGGTTCTTAATTAATATATTTGATGATCGTGACAATCATATTCAGTTACATTGTTATCATTTTAATGATTGATAATAGAACTTTAGAATAAAAAATGCTTTACAAATCAAGCAACTACGGTGACACAAAGGTGACATATGTAGATTTTTATTTATCTCGTGCGCACGAGATACCATAATGTGGCCACGAGTTAATGAGTCGTGGCCACGAGTTACAAAGTCGTGGACACGAGATAATTAAGTCGTGGGAACGAGAAACTATGTTGTGAGCTAGAGTCAATAAGTCATGGCCACGAGTTAATAAAGTCGTTGCCACGAGATACTTAGTCGTGGCCACGTGATACTTTGTCGTTGCCACGAATAACTAAGTCGTGGAAACGAGATACTATATCGTTGCCACGAGTTACTGAATCGTAGGCACGAGATAATTAAGTCGTGAGCTCGAGAGTCTATGTCATGGCTATGTGTTACTAAGTATTGGCCACGAGATAATTAAGTGGTGAGTGCGAGATACTATGTCGTGACCATGAGTTATAAAGTCGTGGCCACGAGTTTCTTAGCACGGGTTAAAAAACCAATAAGATAACACTATATATATATATATATATATATATATATATATATTATATATATATATATATATATATATATATATATATATATATATATATATATATATATATATATATACACTTAGAACATATTCTAATTAAAGTTTTACATACAATATTAATTTTTTAAAAATACTAATGATATTCGCTTTAAATTTGATACATGTCTTTAGGATCATAAAGACATATTAGAAAGTCACCTTCCAAGTCCCATAAATAAGACATTAATTTTGACTACGTAATAACCTTTTGTTGGGACCATTCTGTGATAAAATTGGACAGTCTGTATTAACAACGGCCTGTTAACCTTGTTTATACGATAACTTGAGAAGGAATAAGTCCTGGTTTACTTTATTTGGTAGGGACAGTAGATAGCCTATGAGCATATTTGAGGTCAAGGGTCAAGGTAACCATGACACTTCATGTAAAATCCTTGTCTGCTGAATAATTTAGAAAGAATCCATGGTTAATATAACCTAGAAAGATAGTTGCACCTGGTCAGTAGATGATACCTATTAATTCTGAAGTTTTTTGTATCAAAAGTCAGGATCACAATGACGCTAAATGTATAATCATTTACCAATCAATAACTTGGCACTTTTACAGGCAGATGAAGTAGGGGCATCCTTGTTCTATAGCACATGTGTAGTAAATTAGGCTGATTTGTTATTTATCTCGTGAGCACGACTAAAGTTTTTGGTTCCACGACTTGGTAACTCATTGCCCTGACATAGTTTCACGTTCCTATGACTTAATTATCTCGTGCCCACGACCTAAAAACTTGTGGTCACGATATAGTATATAGTTCCCTACATTTAACTTTCTCGTGGTCACGAGTTAGTAACTCGTGGTCATGACTTAGTAACTCGTGCACCTGACTTAGTAACTCGTGGGTATGACATAGTATCTTGTAGCCACGACATAATATCTCGTACCCACGACTTAATTATTCCGTGGCTACGACTTAGTTATCCCGTGGCCACGACTAAGTTATTCATGGCAACGACAAAGTATCTCGTTCTCACGACTTTATTTTCTCGTGGCCACGACTTAGTATGTCGTGGCCACGACTAAGTAATTCGTGGCCACGACATAATATCTCGTGCGCACGAGATTAATGAAAACACACTCACATGTCACGTTTGTGCCACCGTAAGCAACCGACTACATACAGGAGTTGTCAGCAAAATTAGTGAGAAAAATCAAGTTATGTAAGTACATTATGATAAATTACAAGGCAAGAACCGGTTGAACCG